CATTGTGAATAAAAATTGAAAAAATCAAAAATCTGTGTTCTTGTTTTCAATAAAATCAGTTCAAACCGGTTATAGGGCTGTTTAGACTGTGAAGCGTGACGTCATAATGACATTCTTGAAATGTTTTTTGCACACGGCGCATTTACCTGTGCAGTTAGCATAAACAAAACGTAGTACCAACGTACCAATGTAAACATAGTGTAAACACCATATTTAGGGGTTATATACTGACCCACCTAGCCCCCCTAGGGTTAGGGGTTAGGGTTAGGGGTTAGGGATAGGGATAAGGGTTAGGGTTAGTTAGGGCTAGGGGGTTAGGGTAAGGGGGGCTAGGGTTAAAGGGATTAGGGTTAGGGTCAGGGGCTAGGGTTAGGGTTAGTTAGGGTTAGTTAGGGCTAGGGGGTTAGGGTTAGTTAGGGTTAGTTAGGGCTAGGGGGTTAGGGTTAGTTAGGGCTAGGGGTTAGGGCTAGTTAGGGTTAGGGGGTTAGGGTTAGGGTTAGTTAGGGTTAGTTAGGGCTAGGGGGTTAGGGTTAGGTTAGTTAGGGTTAGAGGGGTTAGGGTTAGGACTGCACTCAGTTGACCCACCTATCCCCTCAACCAATCAGAATCCAGAATTTTTGACCTCATTTGCATAAAAAGTGCACTCAGTTGACCTCGCCATCTAGACCCCTTATACTACTTATATAATTTTGAATAATAGTAAATTTGAATGTCATTGCTTCTCTCAGAATCTGTCTGTTTAAACTTGAATCATCCATTGCTGTATTGTAGACAGTCATAATCACATTTAGTATATAAAACTTATTTTTCGGACTTGTTCTCATTAACAAATACATATTCCCTGCATGTGCACACAAGTAACATCAGTTACTGCTAGATCACTGACAAATCTGATTTCTCCAATTAACCCCTCTTACCTTTCAAAGGAGGAGAGATGAACTGGATAAATATTCTGTACAGTGGGGTCCTCCACATAGGAGAAATTACTGGTGGTGGTATCCACAGGGTTACTATCAATGTTGACCGAGACATTAGCAACACCAGTACTGCCAGCTGGGACAACGCAGGAAATGACAGACATGTTTTTACTGTAAAAACAAAAAAAAAGTTAAATGCACTGCTAATCTTAACTAGAACTGTTCGTAAGGAACTTGTACTCAAAAAAGGTCTTAAATTTTAATCAAGAGGTACATGTACTGTGTGAGAGCTCAAAGAAGAATACGTCCCCTCAGATTTTTTAAGAGTGCTGCATCCAATGTTTCTAACAAAGGTATGTACAAAACTCAGATTATACTCTTTTCAAGTGACCTCGAACTTGCCAAAACAAACACATTTCTTGTGAGAAGGATTAATTTCAATATTTTACCATTAGAGATTTTAAATGAACTAGACAGAGAAAAAGTCTTTTTTTACTGCCAGAATTTTTTAACCTTGAACTTGCCCAAACTTTACCTGATACTATTTTTCAAAATTGTGCAGAGTTTTTATTATCTAGAAATAAAACCAAATCAAAGTTTTCCATAGGTTTTCTTTTTTACATATTCTTTACTCTTTACCTATAGTGTTGTTAATTTCATGCCAAATTTTATTGAAATTAGTTCAAAATTTGGAAGAAGTAGTAGTGTTTTGATGAATTGCTGAAAAACAGACAGATGGATCGTAATCTAAGCTCTTCTAGTTATTGAGCAGTATAACTAAATAGTCAATATAATTAACTAAATTTAAAGAGCAAAATTGAACGCTTGCCTTGTAACTAGGCAGGTGTCATTGTTAATGGTAACTTTAGGGCCGTTCCCAATGTTGAGGTTACCTCCCCTTAGATGCACAATTCTGCCTCCAGACTGCGCCGCAAATTTAGGTTGAAATCCAGTTATCATTGGAGTCTGTTCAAAATTCACAAATGAGCATAAAACTCAAAAGTCATCAAGGAATTGATTTTTTTTTATAATCCATAAATGCTGTGGTTAATTGTTTACCTTATACGAATAGATCCATTTGTTTAGCGTGACCCCCAGTATATTGATAGGACCACTTCCCCCTCCACTCCTACCCCCCGTCACACAGCGGATTCTGATAAGGTAATTAACAAATCACCACATAGATAGGTATAACATTTAAAAAAAACTGAATTAAATTTACTATATGTACATGTATGACAATCATTAAAACAGAAATATACAGTAGAAATTGTTAATATCTGACATACGTGTACTAATCAATGAACTTGTCGAAATAATATGTATTAATTTATTCACAAATTCTTATTAAGGTTAGGAATAATCATTCCCTCCCCATAGTCTTTAAACACTCCTGATTCTTAAGATCAATAGTTTTAAATACCTCCAAATCAAATGTCAACTAACCTTTTTGATGCTAGATAGTCATCCCTTCTTGCTGTTGTGTTACAAGCAATGCCTGCTATGGTGACATTGTTCTCAATATCGGCAAATTTAATTCCGAGATTGGACCCTGTGATTGTGACAACAGTACCTCCCAAGAAATGACCTGTATTGGGTGTCAACTGTAAAATAAAAAAAACCACATAAATTAAACAATCTAATTTTAATGAATATCCGATTCTACAATACTAACAAGTTATCATGAAATTGAACATACAGAATCTTAAATAATGAAAAAAAGTTCTGAGACAGTCTCTTCTCTTACTCTTAAATTGTGAAATTAGTTTGGTATTGATTAATTAGGCTTTTCCCCTGGAATCAATAATACAATTCATCTGTTAGTTGTAAAAAAAATATATAATAATAATAATAAAACTACAGTTGTGCTTCTTGCTAGAATAAGAAAATTTTAAATTGGAATCCTAGTAAATCCATGTTAGTTCCAGGAAAGAAGGGTAGGGGATATGGAATATAACTTAACCAAAAAATCAAAAGGTCAAGGATAATGCTTAGGCACTTCATACACATAAAGTACTGTAAAATTGGTTAGTTACATGTTGGGGAAAGAACTATATGTGGTATATTGTATATATTTGCCCCCACAAAAGTCATATTTTGAAAACTTCCTGAAATGTGCTGAATTCAATGAATTGTATGAGAAATAAAAATTAACAAAAAATATTATTGTGTCAAAAGCAGTGTATTCACAATTTTTGTTTTTATGACGTCACAAACTAGACCGATTTTATATCCTTTTTAAGGAAAAAGGACAAAATGGAAAAAACTTTCAACAATTTTAGCTTGAAAATTTATAGAGTTTTTCTGGAACAATATTGACATATTTCATTGATATTCTCATTCTACACATTATATCAAAACATTGATCCTGAACACACATGCGCTCGGAGACTTTTACTCAAAATATCGACGACATATGTACACTTTTCTGTAAAATAAAAAAAAAATGAAATTTACGTCATGTTTGTGACGTCATTACGTACATATGGCGTCATTACTTATGAAAATATTCAGTGCTTTGAAGTCAGCATATACACCCCTGTTTAATAACTTAATGAGATATATCTCCATCAAAGTTTGATTTGGGGGCAAATATTGGTTATTACCGAATAAAGTTCTTTACACTGCTTACTCAAATAGCTTAGAGCCACATAAAATACCACCTCCCTGCATGTTGCCAAACTGGTGACATTGGGTCATTTTACATTACATGTTACCACATTTAAACCTGTGACAATTGGTCATTTTACACTACATGTTACTACACTTACATTGGTAACATTGGATCATTTTACACTATTTGTTACCACACTTACACTGGTGACAATAGGTAATTTTACACTTCATGTTGCAACACTTACACTGGTGACATTGGGTCATTTAACACTATTTGTTAGCTAACTTACACAAATGACAATAGGTCATATAACACTACATATTACCACACATGCACTGGTGACATTGGGTCATTTTTCACTATTTGTTTCCACACTTACACTTGTGACAATAGGTCATTACACTACATGTTGCCACACTTGCACTGGTCACATTTGGTCATTTTACACTACATGTTGCCGCACTTACACTTGTGACAATAGGTCATTTTACACTACATGTTGCCACACATGCACTGGTTATTATGGGTCATTTTACACTACATGTTGCCACACTTACACTGGTGACATTGGGTCATTTTACTTTGCATGTTGCCACAGGTACACTTGTGACCTTGGGTCATTTTTACTATGTCACCACACTTGTGACATTGGGATATTTTATACTACCCACACTTACACTGGTGACATTGGGTCCTGGACACGATGACTGAGGACATCTTTGCTGTTTGTAGACACACTGTCCTCCACACCATTTACACTTCATGTCTAGATAAGTTTCTTCCAGATTCTTACAGAAGCTACAGTCACCTTTTGCCTGTCCCCTACAGCTATACAGAGTCACTGAAACAAAGCAAATGACTTACAAGTTGTAAACTAAAACAAGAGGCCCATGGACCACAATGCTCACCTGTGTAACTTTGGCACTGTTGTTTTTTTTCAAAAGTTTCCCCCTTGTAAAACTTTGATTGCCTATTGTGGCCCCACTTTAACCACAACATAAAAAATTTAGAATCCACAGTAGCTCAGGAAGCTTCGACATATGTTTCAGCTTTTCTGGTCTAGTTGTTACTGAGATATTATTTTGACCCCACCCTATTTGTTGTCTTTTCTTGATTACCTCCCCTTAAAGATTTTAAGGGGGATTGGTCCTTTTTCTAAAAATTAAACTCCTTGTCTCTCAAGGGAAGCTTTGTACCAATTTTGGTTAAAATTGGCCCAGTGGTTCTTGCAAAAAAGTTGAAAGTGAGAAAAGATGGCTGGATGGAGGACTGACGACAGGTGATCAGAAAAGCTTATGTGAGGTAAAAACAAATTAGTTCATCCATATATTTGTACATTTATAAGACTCTTGCTTAGCTATTAACCTAACTTTCTGGCTTTACTTTTCTTCTACATTATAATTCAGTAGATAGGGTTACTGATAGCACGTTCTCTTACACCTACCTTCAAGTCCATCATTTTCAATGACAAAATTTTGATTGGTCCACAAAACAATCATAATTGTACCAAACCTTCCATTCGGTAAAGCTACATTGATCTGAAAATTTTGAGTTGCATAGAAGTAACTTTTAACATATTTTAATGTGAGAAATGATTCCAAATTTTCTATAGAAAAATGCTGAGAAACCAACAAAAAAACAATTCTGCAGTTGAATTATTTGGTATTTAATTACATTAATTGAATCATTTGGTATTTAATTACATTCTTTCTCTTATACAAATTTTGTGGATAATTGATATAATTTATGAACAACATTGTTCTTGGCATGTTGCAATAACAACTACTGTACTTCTTTATTGAATCAAAATTAAAGCCTTTCTTTGTATTAATACTGACTATAGATACCTTTTCGATATTAAAGGTTAATTGTGTGGCTGATATCCTTGTTCCAGGCACATCCAGAGTTAGAGATGATGGTAGGTAGATTCTTCCACTGTATTCATCCTGTCAAAAAATTAATCATAAATCTATGGATGCTGAATGTAATAAGGAAGGATTGTTCAAGAAGACCCGCTACTCTTAGTGTTGAGTGAATGTCAGAAGGCATGTTTTTGTGTTAAATCTGCTTTATCTAATACATCTAAAGGGTTTATACTGTGTGAATGTGATTGTATCATGTAGTTTTACTGAGTATTATTGTTAAGATATACAAAAACACTATTATCTACCATTTCTTGTGTACAAATGACTTAACTACATACTGGTTCAGGGAAATTTCTTCCTTGGATGATGATTGTTTTCGATTGATCCTGTGGTATAAACAGAGGGCCCGTCTGAATTTTTTCCACCATGGGACAAAATTGCCTTCCTCTGTTGCCTTCATTACCCTTCAAGACATCAACAAAGAAACTATCAGAACATTGCTTTTCTCATTAAATGTCTAAACTTTTGATTTATTTCAAACATTTTATAAAAACAGCATATAAAAAGACTTCTTAAAAGGCTGCTACCTTCTGTTGGATAACATTAAAAAATTCTGCATATATATAGTTGAAAAAAAGCTTAAAAAAACAATTGCCATATTTTCTACAAAAAATCATTTAAACAAGTGTTGCCTTTATTTCCTTAAATTGGCTGAAGTTGTAACACCACATTTTGTCATTAATAAATATTAGTCTCTGGTATAAAAGTATTATTTTACTCTCAAAAATCCTAGCACTAAAATGTGCCATAGCATCTCAATCATGTGACCTTGACCTTTACTGGATTGTGACCTAAGCTTGTCTAAAGGACAGAGCCCTGCATGTTTTATAATCATAATCAACCCTCATCTATGATCTTGCCTTACTCCACAACAAAGTTACATTGTGGACAAAAACTTTACACTTTAAACCAGTGATCTTGTCAAGATAACCCTGAAGAAAGGTTAATACTAAAACTCTGGTTACGATGAAACATTGAGCTTAAATCTTTTTGTGTTCCTCCAAAGTTTTGGCAAAGCATATAATTTTCCATACTTTTAAAATACCTCACTTAAATTACTTTGGGTTGAAGTCACTTTCAAGCATGAGCTTCCAATGTTCTTTCCATCTTATAAAAGTTGTGGATATGACAAAAAATTGACCTCTTAACTTGACTAGTCGTAATGACCTCGACCTTAATAAATTCTCGGCTTCTTAATTTGGAAATACATGTATAAGTACAAGGACATACTAAAGACATTATTTTATTTCCAGTAAGATAACAAGCCAATTGTAGTGTCTTAAAAATGGTTGGAATTAAAATTTTTGATAATGTCATACAATATTAGCATACATGTGAAAGCATACAGAGGGTGATTGATCATATAGATATAATCAAAAGTATCATCGTACATATCATAGATAAGTGATGATGTGTATCATAAAAAAATGTTTATCATAGAGAAGTATGGAGGTGAATAAAGATGAATATCATAGACAAAAATATAGGCTATGGCACAATATTAATGATACGTATGTGTATAAAGCAAATGTATCATCATACGTGTATATCATACATATATTTCATAGATATTAGGAAAATGAATGATCAAACATGTTTATCACACAGAGAAGTGATGAGGCGTACAATATTATAGAGATATAAACAAATTTATCATCATATATGAATATCACAGCTTCGCTCGGCACCAAGTGTCTTGGTAGTCAGCAAAAGTTAACCAACATATACGAAGTGTATCATAATAATAATGTACCACAGAGAAGTAGTCAGGTGCATGATCAGATGCGAATCAAGTAGAGTGCATTGTAAAACAGGTATATAATAAAATGCCCTAGTTAGTTCGAAGTTAAAAAAGCAAACTCTTTCAAGACATAACTCAAACACAAGAAATCGGTAATTTCTATTTACAAGCAATGTAAATGTACAAACAGATAATTATGAAACAGTGAGTGAAAAAGTCATAGTAGGTAACCTCTGTACTAGCTAAGCTAAACCAAAAGAATAAATTCACAAAGAAGAAAAATGATCTAGTGGTAGCGAATCTCCACTAAATGGAAGAAACAAACTGTTAAAAACATTTCTAAAGAAATCATGAAATACACAAACCTATAAAGATCAGAACTACCAAAACAACCTGCAATCCTACTTGAATTCTGCTTTATAAGGAAACCCTTTCAAGTTCAACAGACAGCTAGCAGAATTTTCAAACACAAAAGTATTGTCTCAAATTTAAAATTACAGACATCAGAGGAATTTGATAGGTCACTCGATAGCAAAGACTGTTTAAAATGACCCAGTATCTGTTAATTTGAAATTCTTTGCATCACGTAATACATGTACAATGTATGTATATCTCACTGCATTGTCCCTACTTGTTGAAAGCAACAGTATAAGCATTGGAGAAAAGAAATCAAGTTGATCAGTTATCTTATTAATAAGAAGCATACATATAACATGATTTTAAGAGTTTTTAATATGTGCACATTCTACATGTTATAGTAATTGAAATAGAAAAAATAAGAAGAAAAAAAATCATTCTGTTGAAACTTCAGCATCTATAGCTGCCTATATAGAAATAAATGCGTTGTCAAACGGAAGGCGACTGTCACATGTAGAAGTGCAGACAATACAAAATTAAGGCTCTATTGCAAAAAGAAGATTGATAGCTATATAACATAAACGTATCTTCTTCATAATTGCAGATAACAATGATAATCTAAGGAATTCATAAGTATTATGCATAACCTTTGGGAGTTTACATGTTGAATTTTAATAGTGATGCTGGCGTTCTCAATGGTGAAAAGTTATATGAAATGGAAAAATAAGACGATGGCTAATTATAGAAACAGATACAGTTCGTTAGTTTGATAAAGGCAGATCTATATGCTGTACTATATATAGCAATATAACTTACAATATACTCTGTGTTGTTTTGTACATAAATGTCCTGAAAATGGTGTCATACATTGTATAATTCTAAAACAAACCTTTTTATAAAATAAACAGCTCAAATTTAAAGCTAAACACAATGAGTTATGACCATTATATTAAGATATATAGGTTTCGTAGAAAATTTTCATTTGATTCTCTGGCATGAGCCTGTCCAAAACTAATGGAATGATCTTATTTACAAAGTGAACTTTGTATCTCATTATGTACTTGCATAGAAGGGCTTAAACATAGGGTACACATGTTTATAAACAGACTAAAATATCATTAACTATTAGTCCCACAAGTAATATTTGGGAAACAAAAAAACAATTTTCAAATCCAAATGTATCAGGACTACTTCTACATACATGTTTTTACTGTTTTCATACGCCCCCTGTAATCTAACTTTACAGACAATAAACAATACGTACACTTCGACTGCTGACTTTCTCCCCAGAACACTGCTCTGTGTTGTACTGACACTTGTTCTCCGTGATACACCAGTCACACCAGTAAACATTGTCCACACACCTCGAACAGCTGATAAATAAGAGAGACATTGCAATATTCCAAGCAGTATAAGTTCACAGACCTACATGTACAATGGAATCTGGAAAGGGACTCATAGGTCACTAAATCAACAACGAGTATCAACTAAAGGATAATATAACAGTGGTGCAACTGCATAATGTAATAACACAACAGTGCCTTATCAATGTCGTGATTACTTATTATTATGCTTCCTGTCAGTTTTGCAGAAGGATAAAACGTACGCTGAACTAGGACCTGGGGTCCCCCGCAAATAGTTCGTCATTTTGCGTAGTAATAAAACATTCTAGGAACTCTCCAGGCATTAAAGTCACACAAGTAAATTCATCGATATAATCAATACGGAGACCTCAGGTCACCTTATATATTAATTGAATTTTATATGATAGACGATTTTCTTTGTCTTACTCCAAAATAATCATATTTATAACTTTATAAAGATCAACTTTCTAATATATATATTAGCAGAAACGTGAAAATAATAAAGGGTGACCAACGGTAACCTAATATTTTACATCAATAGGGGGACCAAAGATCACCTTACATTGTACATCAGTAGGGGGACCAGAGGCCACCTTATATTTAACATCATTAGGGATACCAGTTGTCACCTTATATTGTACATCATCAGAGGGATCATAGGTCACCTTACATTTTAAATCAATAGGGGTCCAAAGGTTAATCTTTTATTGCACATAATAGGGGGACCTGGGGATACCTTATATCGTACATCATTTGGGGGACCAGAGGTCACCCTATAATGTACATCAGTAGGGGGACTACAGGTAACCTAATATTGTACTGTACATAAGTAGAGGGACCAGAGGACACCTTATATTGTTGATCAAGGGGGGGAGGACACCTTATTTTATACATCAGTAGAGGGACCAGTGAACACCTTATATTGTACATCAATACGGGGACCAGAGGTCACCCGATATTTTACATTAGTACGGGGACTATTGACCAGAGGTCACCTTATATTGTACATCAGTAGTAAAACCAGAAGTCATCGTATATTGTACATCAGCAGAAGGACCAGAGGTCACTTTATATTGTACGGGGACTAGTGGTCACCTAATATTGTACTGTACATCTGTAGCGGGACCAGAGGACACCTTATATTTTACATTAGTAGTAGGACTAGAGGTCATCTTATATTGTACATCAGCAGATGGACCTGAGGTCCTCTCTTGTATATCAGTAGGGGGACCAGAGGACACCTTATACTATACATCTGTAGGGGGACCAGAGGACACCTTATATTGTACATCAGTGGGGGAAAAGGGGTCACCTTTTATTGTACATCAGTAGGGGGGCCAGAGGACACCTTATTTTGTACATCATTACGGGGACCAGATGTCACCCGACATTTAACATTAATACGGGGTCTAGTGGTCACCTAATATTTTACTGTACATCAGTAGAGGGGCCAGAGGTCACCTTATATTGTACACCAATAAGGGAACCAGAGGACACCTTATATTGTACATCAGTAGGGGGACCAGAGGACACCTTATATTGTACATCAGTAGGGGGACTAGAGGTCACCTTATATTGTACATCAGTAGGAGAAACAGAGTTCACCTTATATTGAACATCAGTAGGGGGAACCAGAGGTCACTTTTTATTGTACATAAGTAGGGGGGACCAGAGGTCACCTTAGATTAAACATCAGAAGGATGACCAGAAGTTACATATGTACATCAGCAGTGGTACCTTAGGTAACCTTTTATTGTACATCAGTAGGGGGACCAGAGGTCACCTTCATTTAACATCAGAAGGATGACCAGACGTCATTTTATATTGTACGGGGAATAGTGGTCACCTAATATTGTACTGTACATCTGTAGCGGGACCAGAGGACACCTTATATTTAACACCAAAAAGGGGACTAGAGGTGACCTTATATTGTACATCAGTAAGGGGATAAGAGGTCACTTTATATTGATCATCAGCAGTTGTACCAGGGTTCACCTTATATTGTACATCAGTAGGGTGACCAATGGGGACCAAAGGTCACCCGATATTTTTCATGCGTACGGAGACTAGTGATCACCTAATATTTTACTGTACATCAGTAGAGGGATCAGAGGTCACCTTATATTGAACATCAGTAAGGGGACCAGAGGACACCTAATATTGTACATCAGTAGTAGGACCAGAGGTCATCTTATATTGTTCATCAGCAGAAGGACCAAAAGTCACCTTATATTATACATAAGTAAGGGGACCAGAGGACACCTTATATTTAACATCAGTAGGATGACCAGAGGTCACCTTATATTGTACATCAGCAGGGGGACCAAGGGTCACTTTATATTGTACATCAGAAGGGGGACCAGAGGTCACCTTATATTGTGCATCGGTAGGGGGACCAGAGGCTACCTTATATTGTTCATCAGTAAGGGGGACCAGAGGTCACCTTATATCTAACAACAGAAGGGGGGACCAGAGGTCACCTTATATTGTACATTAGTAGAGGGACCAGAGGCCACTTTATATTGTATATCAGCAGGGGGACCAGGGGTCACCTTATATTTAAAATCAGAAGGGGGACCAGAGGTCATCTTATATTGTACATCAGTAGGGGGACCAGAGACCACTTTATATTGTACATCAAAAGGGGGACCAGAGGTCACCTTATGTTTAAAATCAGAATGGGGACCAGAGGTCATCTTATATTGTACATCAGTAGGGGGACCAGAGACCTCTTTATATTGTACATCAAAAGGGGGACCAGAGGTCAACTTATATTTAACACCAGAAGGGGGACTAGAGGTCACCTTATATTGTGCATCGGTACGGGGACCAGAGGTCATCGAATATTGTACATCAGCAGAAGGACCAGAAGTCACATTATATTATACGGGGACTAGTGGTCACCTAATATTGTACTGTACATCTGTAGCGGGACCAGAGGACACCTTATATTTTACATTAGTAGTAGGACTAGAGGTCATCTTATATTGTACATCAGCAGATGGACCTGAGGTCCTCTCTTGTATATCAGTAGGGGGACCAGAGGACACCTTATACTATACATCTGTAGGGGGACCAGAGGACACCTTATATTGTACATCAGTGGGGGAAAAGGGGTCACCTTTTATTGTACATCAGTAGGGGGACCAGAGGACACCTTATTTTGTACATCATTACGGGGACCAGACGTCACCCGATGTTTTACATTAATACGGGGGCTAGTGGTCACCTAATATTTTACTGTACATCAGTAGAGGGGCCAGATGTCACCTTATATTGTACACCAATAAGGGAACCAGAGGACACCTTATATTGTACATCAGTAGGGGGACCAGAGGACACCTTATATTGTACATCAGTAGGGGGACCAGATGTCACCTTTTATTGTACATCAGTAGGAGAAACAGAGTTCACCTTATATTGAACATCAGTAGGGGGAACCAGAGGTCACTTTTTATTGTACATAAGTAGGGGGGGACCAGAGGTCACCTTAGATTAAACATCAGAAGGATGACCAGAAGTTACATATGTACATCAGCAGTGGTACCTTAGGTAACCTTTTATTGTACATCAGTAGGGGGACCAGAGGTCACCTTCATTTAACATCAGAAGGATGACCAGACGTCATTTTATATTGTACGGGGAATAGTGGTCACCTAATATTGTACTGTACATCTGTAGCGGGACCAGAGGACACCTTATATTTAACACTAAAAAGGGGACTAGAGGTGACCTTATATTGTACATCAGTAAGGGGATAAGAGGTCACTTTATATTGATCATCAGCAGTTGTACCAGGGTTCACCTTATATTGTACATCAGTAGGGTGGCCAATGGGGACCAAAGGTCACCCGATATTTTTCATGAGTACGGAGACTAGAGGTCACCTAATATTTTACTGTACATCAGTAAAGGGATCAGAGGTCACCTTATATTGAACATCAATAAGGGGACCAGAGGACACCTAATATTGTACATCAGTAGTAGGACCAGAGGTCATCTTATATTGTTCATCAGCAGAAGGACCAAAGGTCACCTTATATTATACATAAGTAAGGGGACCAGAGGTCACCTTATATTTAACATCAGTAGGATGACCAGAGGTCACCTTATATTGTACATCAGCAGGGGGACCAAGGGTCACTTTATATTGTACATCAGAAGGGGGACCAGAGGTCACCTTATATTGTGCATCGGTAGGGGGACCAGAGGCTACCTTATATTGTTCATCAGTAAGGGGGACCAGAGGTCACCTTATATCTAACAACAGAAGGGGGGGACCAGAGGTCACCTTATATTGTACATTAGTAGACACAGGATGAAAAGCCAGGTTTCCCAAATTTGGAAACCCGATGGAAACATATGGGAATCGTGACATCAGTAGTTTCCATATAGTTTCCATTTTATGGAAACCACATAGTGGTTTCCACATAGATTCCCGACATGGAAACAATCAACCTGTGGTTTCCCGTAAGTTTCCCAAGATAGGAAACCATGGAAACATGCCCTAGTGGTTTCCATGTAGATTCCCGACATGGAAACAACCAACCTGTGGTTTCCCGTTAGTTTCCCAAGATAGGAAACCATGGAAACATGCCCTGGTGGTTTCCATGTAGATTCCCGACATGGAAACAACCAACCTGTGGTTTCCCGTTAGTTTCCCAAGATAGGAAACCATGGAAACATGCCTCAGTGGTTTCCATATAGATTCCCGACATGGAAGCCACCAATGTGTAGTTTCCCCCATGTTTCCCAGGTAGAGAAACCTTGAAAGTATATCTCAATGCTAACCCACCTACTTTTTATTTTACAATAAGTTAAATATTTTCTGATGTTACCATATGCTTACCAATTATAGAAATATTTCAAAAGTATTTACATGCTGTATCAAAATAATTAACTTCCCTTCAAACAGTTAAAATAACTAGATGTGTATTTCTGCGTGATAAAATTTAATATTTCAGCACCGTGAACGCAATTTAATATTAAAAATTTATCAAATAAGTTTTGGTAAACTCGTATAGAATGCATGAAATGGAATAGAGAAAATTAAGTGCAGTTATGTAGATATCAATCATTTCCGATCCCACTTTCTTGTAAGCTGTCTATGTTGAATGTTCCTTTGAAAAAAATGCAAGCGCGAAGGGCACCTTTAATGATATTATTTACAGAAAAGGTAAAAAGATCGATAAAAAAGTAAATAAAGAAATATGTCAAGTTGCGATTATATAAAATGTAGTGATTAAGGACAGATGAGACGTTCCTCAATAATATAATTATAATTTTTTCCAATATTTTGACATTGAAGACTTACCTTTTTTACATTATAACATGTATTCACAAAAACTCAAGGTACCTTACAAGGCATTTTGTGTGAGATACCAGAGGTTGGCATCTCTTATATACCGGGGTAATCCTTCAGGAAAAAATTCTTCAGTTGGTTTGTCACAATTACATTTTTAGTGTTTCAAATTATTAAAAACCAGTTTAGAAAGTAATAAAGATTTTTATACAAATTTATTATACATTAATATGAAGATTCACAAAACAGATACTTAATGGGAAACGTATCGTCTGACCTTTAAAAAAAACAAAATATAGAAGAGTAAGTATGGTTACATAGAGATCAATGTAAACTGGTCAGATAAAATCCATCGAATTGGTTGGGGGCTGAGTATTATCATACTAGTATTTTACTTTAGTAAGATTGTTTTTTTTTAATTTAATAAATTATTATTATTATTGGGGGT